ACTATCCTAATCTCATTGACAACCATTAGTTTTTGACGAGAATTTTCATTTATTACAAATAGAATACGGATAGAACTCCAATAAAAAGCCTCTTACTTGGATTTTTTTGTTCAGCATTATACTTGCATCTTTCGCTGCCGGAAATGCCATCAAATGCTACGAAAGGCAACAGACTGACAAGTAGTACGCAAGGAGTAGTGATAAGCGGCGTTTTATTGAAACTCCTTTTTCTAAGCGGTTCCACTTTTGCCTCAGATAAGGAAATGCTTAGAAAAATACTGAAGAGCAATTTACAGTACGGTTCATGTTGACTTGTACCTGAAAGAGAAACCCTATTTGACAAGGCCAAAATATGATATAGCGACAATCGTAGTGTTCACCCTGTCCTAGCAAATTCTACTCTTCCAGTTTCTGCTGAAGCAATTCAACCTAAAGGCTGGGCCCTGAAAGTGACCAAGAAGGCCACTCGTTTCAATGAAAAAAAAAAAAAAACTACCTTGAAGAAAAGTTTTTCTCGGGTCAGGAGACGGCCATAAAAGTCGAAGCAATTACTGTAGCACAAAAGATGACGCGCTCAAAAGATGAGGCCAGAATTAGGCGGTTCACCTGTGATGAGTTCCTGACTCCTTGCCACGTTTAATCCTTGCTCTCGAGAATGGCTTCAAAGCTCAGAAACAGACAGGAGAAGGTCCTCCAAGAAGACACAACAGACGCTGAGAATCAAGCTGCAGATATTTTTGACAAGTATCAGTTAACTCATCCAATTGCTTATGACTCATTCAACTTGTGTGCCTTAAACGCATCTATGTCTTTAAAAAGCTAAGCGTCAACATTAGTGCTTCGCTTAATAGATGCGGGTATTTTAAAGCGCCCTGCATAGGGTTGAAAACTAGTTTTGTGCAGACATGAAGCTGTGCTCCATCACAGAACTGAACGACATTAGCGCCTGTGGGGTGCCTTAGGCTAATAACCAATGGTGCCTACAAAATACAAACGTGTTTCCGCCAGATTAAGAAAAC